TCTGGGCTGCACAGATCAGGTGAGATTCCTGGGTAAACAATACTTCCACACTGTTGTTGAGAATTAAGTGTATCCTTGTGTGACTTCCCCCTGAGAGGTGACACTTGGAATCTTGCAGCTGGTATTCTCCTAAATGTCACTCGTGTCCATTTTCTTTGCAGATTCTGATCTATGCCTGTTCACTGGAATAAATCATAGCTGTAAGTAGTCTAGTTTTGCCGAGTACTGTGGAGAATTATCAGGTATAAGGGTAATTTTGGGGACCTCTAACGCAGTCACTTGGCTGAGGTTCTGAGCTGGGGATCAGGGGTGGAGATGTGCGTTTTGGGAATGTCAACCGTAGGAAATCAACCATGAAGGGTCTGGAATGACCTTGGAAGGGCTGATAAGGGAGAAACTTTGTAGGTTCTGCCACTTATCCCTAAAGATCTTACATATTTTACCCTACCTGAACCGCGTTCAGGTTCTCTCACCTGGACCATAAAACCCCCGGGAGCAAGTCCTCCTACCTCTTTATGCCCACAGGGCTTAGTACAACATAACATCGTGAAGAGGGGGCCTTGCACAGAGTGCCTCAGTGGATGGGCTGCCCCTCAAGTTGCCCATGTCTGAGTGGGTGTTGTTCCTCCCCATATCCAGCAGCCAGTGACTGGCTGATGTAGAACCACAAGGATCCTTCCTCTTTTCCTCACTGGATGTCCAGTTCTATGGTTCAATTCATGTCCTGGAGCTCTTCACGGGATCCAGCTAAAGCTGGTCTCTATTCCACACCACATGCGTGTGGAGCATTCTTCTCCAGCCCTATCTGCTTCCTGTACTCACACTTTTGTCAGAGGATTTCCTCCATAAGTTACTTGCCCAAGAGTCTTTGTCTCAAAGATTGATTTGAGGGAACAAACCCAAGACAACTATGATAAAAACTTTTGGCCCTCGAAACCCTCATGATCATATTTTAATGCAATGGACTGACTAATGGAAAGTCAGCTCTCAACATGGATCACAGCGTCTTTATTTCTGAATTCAAAGTCCTTCCTTAGTCTTGAGCTCATGAAGTAAGGTGTACTATATAAATCATTTCTTTGTTTACTTGTTAGCAGCTCTGGGAGACAGAACAAAACAATTGTTGGTGATGAAGTCTTGCTCTCAGTTACAAACTCACATCATTCATTTGCTCCCTCTTTCCTACAACAAAGCCTGCTTGCTTCACATCTGTCATCTAAGCCTGAGTCAGTTGGCCTGTGTGGGTGCTAAAAAGCTGGGATGATCTCTCTGTGGGGACCTTGACACTGTCTCATGCCAATAGTGAGATGGCTCTTCCTGGTTTCATGCTGGCAATAGATAACTATATTAAGGAAGTGGTTTATGGCCCAGAGTTTAGCTGAGTTGTTGGCTAAACAATGTGCCAAGGCAATTTGTGCCCCAGATGCAGCCCCTGGTGGGTTGCACTGGGTTTCCTGTCCACAGACTGCACTTAGAAACCTGGCATGTTACCATCCTCTTGTGTGCCACTGCATGCTAAAAGGCACCACATCTAGGAGGGTTCATATACCAGTTAGTCAAGAAGGTACACAACAAGAGATGACAATAAACCTAGTAACCTGAACTCCAAGATCTTTGTGTCAAAATCTGAAAGGGATTTTAGTGGTCTTAGAAGTGAAGTTCTTAATGAAGCAAAACTTATCTCAAGGATCAAAATGGTCCTAAAGTCCACCAAGAATATCAGCTCTTTCACTTAAGCTTCAGGCCCACTAGCAGGGTCCATACAAAGATCCCACTGGTTTAACATCAACACTTCTCACCAGTGGCTGAGACTGTTTCTCCAGAGTTGGATATGACTGTCAGTGGGACATTGAAGGTAGACTTGGTATGTCTAGATGTACAGAGAAAAGCCATGGGCTGCTTAGAGGAGCACCTCTGCCCCTTACAGCCCTATTTACTGAAGCTTTACCAGCACCTTCCTGCCTGGTGGTCAGTTTTTATTCTTGCAGGCAGGAAAGAAGGACCAGGGAAGCTTGAGGGGACACCAACCAAGGCAGGGAGCGTACTGCCAGCCCTAAGCAGGCTGCTCTCCCTGGCTTCCAGATCTACTCTATGTTGAATCCCACCGTTGATACCTAAAGATTGTTGTCATTACATTTAGCCTTTATCTGTCTGTGTAGGGCAGTCTGATTTCCTACACCTGGGTCCTGTGGCCATTTCCTGGCCACTGGAGTTTGTTCCGTGGCAGTGCAGGCCAGAGGTTCCAAGGAAGTAATGTCCCAAAATAGTCATCAACCAAGGCTTAGTTGGAGTGAGGAGACTTAGGTGTATGTCACACCTGCCTCCTAGAGCCCCCTGCCAGGACACAACTACAGTGACCGTGGTAGAAACATGTGCCCCGGCCCCTGTGGCCCTTTCAGTATTTCCTGAGACATTCCCTTCCCACCCCTTGCATTTGAATCCTTAGCTCAGAGTTTGCTTCGGAGGGGAATCAAATTAAGCCAGTGTCTCATTCTCCTTTTTTCCCTTACTACATAGATCAAGCCCAAGTTATGCAGAATCTATCCGGAGGAGAAGGATAGCATTTCTTCTGTCAGCCTGGAGGCTCAGGGCTCACAGCTGGCAAACAAATAAATAGAGCACATGGCCTTCGGCAGTCTGACTTCCAACCTTCGTGTTCTGTTTTCAAGCTCAAGGCTGATCTTGTGCCTCTAAGCTTAGTCCCCGTGTTTGTGCACCAGTTAGGCTGAATGAACTGAGTTTGATCCTGGAGAGACTGCTCTAGCTCTGTTACTTACTGTGTATGGCAGGCAAATTATTATCTGCTCTGGATTTCAATTTACTCATCTAAAAAATTAGGGAGTTAGAAAACTCATAAATTCCCATCTGTGGTCCGCATTTATATTTGTTGAATAATAAGTAAAGACAGGACTGTTAGCTGCCAGCTAAATACCTGGCTGGGCTTCTCTCAGTTTAGCTTTTCATCTTGAAGAGAAACAGTGCCATACAGGTGGGCACATCAGACATTCCCCCCCTCCACATGGAGCATGCTAGCTCATTTCAGCTCAGCTCATTTCATGGCGGGGCCTTTCTTTTTCCTGTTCTAACTATCCCAGCTAAAAACCTGGTTTTAATCATGGCAGTGACCTCTGACTAATATCCCCTTAGCCCAAAGAGGAGAGAGCCTATTACCAGGGTAACTTCCTACCAGCAAATGAACACGTTTCCCTAAATAATGGTAAGTTTTAAAAATCACCTATGAAAATATGAAGTTTCTAGGGGCAATACCCATGGCAAAAGATAAGGCAAGCCATGTGCTTAATCAGAAGATGTAGAAACCCCATGACGTCTTATACCAGGACTTAGTAAACTTTTTCTGTAAAGGATCAAATACCAAACATTTCTGGCTTTGTGGGCTGTAAGGTCTCCACTGCAAATAGTCAAGATAGCCGCCTTAGGATGAAAGCAGCCACAGAGCAGAGTCAAAATCAAGGTGGAGGTGAGTGAGGCACTCACATTGGGCATAGAATTTAAAGGTGGCCAAAAACCAAAACAAAACAACCCCAACAACTCAGTAACAAAATTAATATCTGAATGCAGTATGTATTTCTAAATTTAAAAATACACGTGAGCAAAATTCATGATGAATAAAATATCAAAATTTTAAATGACAATAGGATTGGGTACTACATGAATGAATCTATGTAGCTATGCTCTGCTAAGCCTTTGGTGTGGAGGCTAGTTTACCGAGTCCTATGTTACACACACAGAGTGTCCCTGGGGCCATCTCAAGAGAAGTCATAGTCTTAGCACCAGTATAATGGTGATATATTTCTTTCAGGGGGGCCTTCTTTCCTTCTCTTTCCTCTTTGGTACTTTTTTTGCTTTGGCTTCTCATCTATCTCTGCTCCATACTCTACTCCCCATATTTGGTAACCCAGGCCTCCAATTAGGTCTCACAGTTTCTCCAACAGAAAACTTCAGCAGGGCCTGGCTGCTGCCCTTTTGTCTTCTCCCTGGCAGGGAGACAGCTACATGGTCTCTTCTTACCCAGGGGCAATACCCTCTTAGACACCCTGGTGGATGCCTGAAACTATGGCTGGGACCCAGGTCTACATAGCACTGCGATCGCCTAACAGTTGATCTCAAAAACCAAGACAACTAAGTGACCTCTAGGTAGATGGCACGTACCAGAGTAGATACACTGAACAAAGGGAAGAGCTGGTGGTCTTGGTGGACTTTTGGACTTTAGTAGTGGGACAAAGTAAAGGGACTATGTGAAATCTCATCATGTGACCCGGAATGGAGTGAAATGTAAGATGCATCATTTATTTCTGCAATTTTCTGTTTCATATTTTTGGACTGCAGTTGACTGTGGGTGACTAAACCTTCAGAAATGACAACAATGGATGAAGAGTGGTTACTGTATTATCAGCTGACACTCGGGAGAGGATCTGGTAAATAGCTTAATAGCCTGTTCATCTGGGCTAAGGAGTGTTTCAATAGTAGTGAGTTCTTTAACCAAAAGGTCTTTCAGAGAACCCAAAATCAGCAAAAACAAAGATTTAAAATAACCTAATTTGTTGAATAACAAATGAAGTTAGGGCTATCATGTGGACATAGATATTAGAGAGAGGTCAGCTTTACATTGGTAGAATCTCAGACATCTGTGGGATAGAGTATCGTTGGAAGGTTGGTTCCTCCAAATCTCATGATATTGGCATATTTGTGACTAGAGAGAAGGACCAGTCCTGGTTAGAGGGGTTGGAATCGGCTCCAGAATGGGGTTAGAGGTCCATGGTTATGGACAGAAGGCCCAAGTGACTCTGAAGTCACCTCCTGCTTGCCAGTCTTTGTAGAGTCCTCTTTCCCAGATTCCCCTCCACATATACCTTCTTCAATCCCTCAAACATTAGCCTTGATGGGTACAAAGAGAAGCCAGCTTGGCTCCAGTGAAGTAACCACTGTCAACCCTAGGAACAGATAAGTCTTAAACAAATGCAAGAATACATAAATGAATCTATGTTACAATAAAATTTTATTTGGCCCATCCTGATCAAGTTTAATAATGTTTAATAGATTTTTTAAAAAACATGAGTACTTATAAGAATCTCTGTAATGACAATTAGATATGAACTCCTGGTCAAGGTCAGCAGCTTATTCCTTTACCCAAAAAGTAAAGCCACACTCTAAGGACACAATGGCACATGAGGACTGGTGTACATTTCCTTTTTTTTTTTTTAAAGCAAAGCCTAAACTCTTCATATTTACATATTTTCCATTTAAAAACTGGTCAGCATGATTAATTCTGTTTTTAATATAAGTTTCTAACATGTTGCAGGCTTCAGTGTACAAAACAATAACTTGCTGATTGAATTTAAGGTGCTGTGATGTGAGAGTGAACACAGCCCAAGACCCACACTGGGGGAACCCTCTCCCTACATACTGGCTAGACTTCCTGTGGGTATCTTTGGGGTGCTGGAGGAGAGTGAAGAGATGGATACCAATGGCAGAGTTCCAGGGATTGGACTGGGGCTGTGAGTGACCCCAACCCATGCATCTGCAGAGGGCTTGAGTACTGTAAGCTTATGTTAGGGGAAACTGTTGTTGTCACCTTCCCTACTTTTCTGCGTTTCTTGCCACAAGTTTTCTAGTCCACCAGTGCTTTCCTTGAGGGTCTGCTCTCAGCCAACACTAAATGGATGGTCAAAATCAAGCACAGTATTAATGAGTGATGATAGCCCCTGGGTGAAACCTTCCCTCCTAACATGTTTGGTCTAAGGCAGGCACCTCATTGTTTTCCTCCAAATGAATGATTTGTTTGGAGAACTTCCTGTGCTGATGCGGGCTTAGAGAGGAGCTCTGTGAGTGCTGGGGGTTAGGGCGGAGGGATTCCTGGAATGGATGTCTTCAAACTCCTCATGTAGGATATCCACCGGAGAATGAGGACTGTGTTTTTGTGCATGTCAGGAAAGTGCATAGGGCGTACTGGAGGTGTCTGTGTAGGCCTAGGGCAATGCCCAACTTTACCCAGGATGCTACACTGCTCTGCTCTGAAACAAACATTTCAGATCATGCAGAAATCAGGCAAATACAATGGGAGTGGCAGATGAGAACGTCTAAGTATTTGGGGAGCCAGCAAACATATGCTTGGTGACTAGGAGAAATGATTCAGTTTCCAATTTAAGAATACAAGTAACATTGTTCTGAATTAAAGAATATTGAAGGATTAGATGGTAATGGACAGGGCAGAAACATCTTAGACCAAGTTTTCTGACCAAAAAAAAAAAAAAAAGCCAGTGACTTGGCAGAGGAAGACATGATATCAGGGACAGACACTGGTCCAGGGGCCAGGAAACTTGGATTCAAGGCTCACTCTGACACCTACTACACAAGTTGATGGCCCTAAACAAGTCAAATCACCTTGTTTCTCTGGGCCTAAGAGTCCTTTCTCAGCTGTCATTTGAGGCTGATAAGCCGGATGGCTTCACAACTGTGTTTGCAAGGTGCCTCTGCACCTGACCTCCCAGGCAGGGGATGCAGACTGTCATCTAAGACTGGGGTCGTCCCCCATGCCCTGCCGCTTAGAAAACACACGGTCTTCCCTTTGCTGGGAAAGTAGTTAACTCCTAGTCAGGCTCCTGTTCACACCTGCTCCCAGAGGTTAAAGGCTGGTAATTAAGGCAGTTTAAGAAATGGACATTCCTCTCGCTCCTCGGATCCTTCACGTGTTCTGCTAACCGCAAGGCAGCAGAGAGGGACAGAAGGGGTGATGGAAGTGCCAGAGAGGTGGCCCCCTCTGGCCAGGCTGGGCTTTTCTGGGGTGACCTCCTGCTAGGGGCTGCAAGTGCTCCCTCTGGCCTCACCACCTTTCTTTGGAGAAGGCCTCCGTCTGTACAAGGTCTCCAGGGTGTTCTGCGATGCAAGCGCCATTGAGGTCGCCCAATTTATCGTCTGGCAGGTCCTCAGGTTTGGTGCAGAGCTTCAAAGCGCGGGAGATAAACACGTCCAAATCAAACTGGGGGCTTGCGCCCCCATCGAGCGAGGCTGGGCAATCAGAGGGCAAAGGGGACAGGTGGCGTTCGGGGCCATCGCGGGGCGGGCTGGTGTTCTCGGGTCCGCCCTGTGTGCTCTTGACCCACTGGGCGATCTCCAGGAAAAGGCTGGCTGGCTCGTCCTCCTGCGCCTCCACATCTGTTGCCACGGCGGCTGTGGGAGGCGCACCTGCCGCCTGCTTCCAATGCGACAGATCTAAAATGAGCTTGGGTTCCGAGTAGTGGTGCGGCTTGTTGTCACGCCACAGCAGCTTGTCCAGGTAGGACGGCGACCCCACCTTGTAGTCGCAGGAGCGCCCATAGTCGGCCTCGAAGGCGCGCTCCATGGACGAGTGCGACTGCTCCAGGAAGCGCTCCGAGCTGCTCTTCGAGTCCTTGCGCGGGTCCACCTGCACATCCTCGGCCAGCGGTGCAGAGCCAGCTCGTGGGTCGCGCTGCACCTCGCTGGCATCCTGGCACCGGTCGGGTCGCCACTCCAGGTCTGACGACAAACTCACTGGGTACCTGCAAGGGTGTAAGCCAGTAGTGATAGGAGCGTCCCTGCCGGCCACCCCCCAGCTTTTCCCTTTTCAGCCCCTCCTGCCTGCGTCCTCCCAGCGCTCAGCGGAAGTATGATGGCACAGATAAATGTGTCTTGGGCTCAGCTAGAGGAACTGATTGTTCAGCTTAGTCCTTGTATTCTTTTTTATTCATTCCATGTCCCACAAATAATACGTGGGCACTCACTATGTGCACTCACTGTTGCAGGCAGTAGTGGATTCAGCCATCAGCAAAACAAAACCCCCTGTCCTTGCCAAGCTTTCTAATGGTAAACATCAACATAATGCTCAAATTTGATGGCTGGGTATACATATCACCTGGGGATTCTTGTTAAAGTGCAGAACTGATTCTGAGGGCCTGGAATTCTGGTCGTTGGGCCATAATTTTGAGTAGCCAGGCCCACCATGGCTTAGGTTAGCATCACATGGGGGGATTAAAAATGAATCAGCAGAGCCGCCTGGCTGCATCCCCAGCTCAATTCTGACTTGACAGGTCAGCGTGTTTGTAAAAACTCCCCAGAAGGTTAAAGAACCCTGCCCCAGTGGGTCTCTGGATTGGGTAGCACTGTGCATTGACACAGAGCAGGTGAGGCCTACAGAGAAGTCACAGACACCATCAGGAGAGGTCAGAGCTCCTTGGAATTCTTCCCTCTGCTGACTGCCCTGCAGCCCTGCAGAGTCAGCCAAGAGCAAATGAAGGACAGCTGGGCAGGCAGGTGGGCGGTCAGGTTTGGCTGAGCCCTCCCTCTTGGTTCCAGGAGATCTGTGCAGAGCCAGAATGGATGGAAAGGGAGCAAGCACAAAGGAGGCTGCAAGTAGTCCCTGCCCAGCTGCTTCCTGAGCAGGAGGCCTGGTATGCACACAAGTCAGCGACACAAGCCAAGGACATGCAGGGCTGGCTTTGTGAAGGGGCAGGCCTGGCAGCTTCAGGCCATGGACTGTGGTTAGAGAGGTGTGGGGAGAATGCCCATTTCCTGAGAATGCCACTAGGGTAGGAATTTACTCCTAGAACTCAGCACTGCCTCCTGCCTCAAGTGACCTCAAAACTCCAGTGATCTCTAAGAGGAAGAGTACATGAAGACCCAACGTTTGCTGCTAGAGGCCAAGTGCTGAGTTTATATTATTTTTAGTCTTCCCATCATTGCTTTATAGGTGAGGAAATTTGCATGCCAAGAGGTGAAGTAATGTCTATGGCAGCAAGGCCTGTAGGAAGGGACCATCATACCCTTTGTCATCTTTCTCCTTCATGCAGGTGTGTCAGGAGCGCAGGTATAACAGGCATAGTGTAGGCCACAGTTGATGGGAAGCAACCCTGCTACAGTTTCCGCTGGCTCCAACCCTCAGCCACAGCATGATTAGTATAGGGTGAACCTTGCTAAGCCAATGCTTGTGCCCCAAATTCTGTGGTGTGCAAAGGTGGGGGCGCTGTGAGGAAGATAATTCAGGGCAGGGCAACATGAGGGTGACAGAAGAGGCTCCATTAATCTCTATTTGCTGGCCACACTTGAAAACAACCATCTACAACAACAAACCAGCAAACCTGTCCAAAAATAGTAATGCTGCCTGGGCCCTCCTTAATCTGAAACCCATCATCTGTCAAATGACTAAAAAGGAGAAATTGCTCATCTGTCACTTATATAACTAGCTGTCACATCTCCACAGCAGCGGGGCTCCCGGTTAGGCCCCCTCAGAGGAGGAGCTGCAGAGCCCTCCAGTGCTATTTCTAAACTGAGCAGCGACTGGCGCTGCCTCCCAGAATTAGCAGATGGCAGTGCCCAAATGTGGAGCTGCCTTATCTAAGCACGTCAGAACAGGGACAGATCTATGAGATCATTACGTGCTCAGACAGAAGTGGTTTAAAAATCTGTCTTCTACCCAATACTGATTCAATGGTAGTAGCTTCTTGAGGACACTTGTCAAGAATCCTGAGGCAAAGCCTAGTTTAGCAAGGAAAAGTTTTATAATTGCTTAGCAGTATCCAACAGGCAAATAGTTTGGGGAGGACATCATAACATAATTACTGTATACATGATGCCAATCTCTTGACCCCTCTGAGCTGTAGCTTCTTCACAGGCAATAATAATAACAAAGCCTCTCTCACTGGCACTCTCAGGAGGTACAACTATGTGAAAAATGAGAATATTTGGTAATGGTAAACTGTGCATTTTTTCTGACTTGCATTGTTGCATTTGGCTTTTCAAAGGAAATCGCCAGTCTGCTACAAGGGCTCAGGGTGCTGGGGAGACCTAGGAGTGACCCTATTACACATGTGCATCACTTGCTGGGAGTGTCTAGGGATAACAGAAAGGTAGGAAGAACCCAATGGGCTATGCAATTTAGGAGACAGAGGAGAAGGCTACACAGGGTTGGAGGCAAAATGGAAATGAGAGGACAGGGGCATGTGGCTTCCAGCCCTAGATTATACCTGTCCCAGTTGGACAGCTGGCTCTGGTTGGTAGCCATCAGCACGATGTCGTCAATCTCATCCTCTATGCGGAAGGGGTGTTGTGAGGTGGGCTCATCCTCGGGGCATGAGTATGGACTCATGTAGGGATGCTGCAGCCCCATCTCAGCTGTCAGACGGTCCATGGGGTTAAAGGTCAAAATCTTTTCCAGAAAGTCAATGGCTGTGGGGAACAGAAGAGTACATGAAGGTCATGTATTATCTCTGAGTATGGTGACATTCTCTGCCATTTGTGCTTTTACCTTTGTTAAAAGCTGTTTTATCTCAAGCACAGGCTGGGCAGAGAAAGACCAGTGCCAGATTTAGTAATGAGCTCCTGGAAGAGGACCTGCACCCCAAATTCTCAGGTCTGGAAGGATCAGGCACTCCAGGGCAGGGCCCAGTTCCAGGGGCTCAGTTTCACTGGGATCCTCTGGAGATAGCATGGGACACAGCTCATGGGTGGTTTCCTGAGGGGTAGAGAAGCTGGTCACACCCTCACCCACTCCTTGGCATGGGTTGAGGGCTGCCAGAACTTGGTAGAGAAACTGCAGGGGAAAGCTTTGGTGAGCAAAGGAAAGGTGGAGGAGAGGGAGGGACAGCACCCCACAACCACAGCCCTTGTCTGAAGCCACAGCTCTTTGTACAATATGTGGCCCCTGTAAAGTTTAGAGGGAAAGGCACAGGCTTGATTAATATTCAAAATGCTGAGCAATCAGGCTGAAGTGCCTTGTTTTGCTAGGCAGGAACCTTTCAGTGGCTAAGGTCCAGGGAAGTACTGAGCGTGGACACTTGGGGGAGGGACACTCAGGAGTCTTGTGCAGTGGCTATTTGCCAACCAGCATGGGAGTGTAGAGTTCAGCAGCTGACGGAAAAGGCTGCTGTCCTTTTCCCTGAGCAGGGTGGGAACTCTTCTGCCTGAGCTGGTTGGAGGTTTGTATTACTTCCCAGCATGGCAGTCTTTGCAGCCTACATGGTGGAGGGAATGAACTAAGCTCAGAGCCTGGGCTGCCAAACCCTCTAAGGGTGTCCTCGCAGACCTAGCCTACACAGTTAACCTGTCCCTCACACCGGCTGAATCTCTTTGCAGGAAAAGTCATCAAAGATTCTTTGAAGGTCACCAGCATCCCAAGGGGCTGCAGCACAGCTGAGTATCCCTCCCTGAAGGATTGGTAAGCAGCAGTAGCTTTGATCACTCACTCCCTGAGGCTCAGGGTAGGTTGCTAGGTCTTGGGCTGCAGAACAGGAAGAGGACTCACCTAACAAATTCCCAGGACTAGAAGATCAGGCTCTCCACGGACAGGTCTAGCACAACAGGCCTGACCGAATTGTTCCTTCTTTGGGCCTCTGACCCTTCTCCAGGCCCCATTGCACCCAGATTTTAAGGCATCTTGCATATAATAAGGTATCTGTGCAATCTTTCTCTGGACTTATGGATTCCAAATGGGGCTCTGCAGAGCCCCAAGTATTCTGGAAGGATTGTTGAATCATTGCTGGAGTTCCTCTCCCCTGCTTCATACAGCACATGCCCCCTCCCTGCTTCACATATTAGATTTCTTCATCAGATTTTACTTTTTGTAAATGTATCAAACTGGACATGCCAGTGAGATCTTGAGGCCTGCCCCCTTGTCCTATGCTTATCATGTGATAGCCATTTTGGTTGCTGGCAGGTGCTGTTACCTAAATTGAGTTCATGAGTCACTGAGGGAACAGCAAGGCAGACTTTGGACCTCTTCTTGGCCTTTGGGTCCTAGAATGTACTGCAGAGGGAGTGGTTTTCAGAGACCCCCAGCTGGCTCCTCTGGCCTGGAGGGCTTGCGGCGCCTTCTCCTGCAGAGAGCTCACCTCAATGATGTTTCATAACCCCAAGGCCAGAGCCCATTTCAGATTACTTTTTAAGGTATGAGGCAGAAGGAGAACGTTTGAAGCTGGGCATTGGGAAGTGAAACCAGCCTGGCTTAAGGGGACACCTGGTCCAATACAGGACCAGGTCCAGCCAGCCCCTGGCCATTTGAGACCTCCAGTCCTGCGGCCTTCTCCAGTCTCTCAGTTTCACCTGCTGCAGGCAGCTTTGACTCCCTCTCACTGAACAGAGCCCTTCCCACCTGCCCCAGGCCAGTTGCTCTGCCTTCGTTGGCTCTCCTGACCTCCTCAAATCCTTAGATGCTCTACAGTCGCTGGACTGTGTTCCTTAATATTCATATTCATCTTTGATGGCTTCCCTGTCTTCTATCTATAATGTAGACTGTGTCATAGCCTTTTACTTTCTGTCCCTTATGCAGTTTTCTAGTAACAGTGGGTTAAGAAATGTTGGGGGATAACAGCGAGGAGCTTTATCTCCTAATCGGGGGTGTACTCTAATTTCTCCAAGGCAGTGTTCACTCCTCTCAGAACCAAGTCACCAAAGGGCTGCTTTGTCTGTGGTTGCGTGGGAAGGGATGATGTGGGTGACTCATCTCTGATCCAGAATTTCTGAGCAGTGAACATAGCTCTTGACACATGGTGGACTTTCTGTGGAGCTCCGAAATCAAAGTATACACAGATGGGTGGAGACTAAATTTATTGTGAGTCAAATGTTAGCATCCCTTAATCCCTGTATTGTCCGGGAAAACTAAGGTAGTTTACCAATTGAATAGGGGTCATAGCCAAACACATTTCAAGCCTTCACCCTGAGCTATATCCCCAGCCTTTTTACTTTTCATTTTGATAGTATCTCACTAAGTCACCAAGTGGCTGGGCTAGATTTGAAATTGTGATGCTTCTGGCTCAGCCTCCCAAACTGCTGGCATACAGGTGTGCACCATCACATCTAGGTAACCTGAAGCTCTTTGAGTATCAACACGCTGGGTTGTAGTTAGGGCAAATGCCCTCTGTCAGGGGGCCTTGATTTCTACGTTCTGTGCTCTACCCTTTTGGAGGAAGACTCCTGCCCCTCATGCTCCTGCCCCTGCCCTGCAAGGTCAAGTCAGAGCTCAGCCTCTTGGGATGCTGCTACCTTCACTGTTCACTTCGGGGAGCAGCTTGCGCAGCGGCCTCTTCACTTCCCAGGTGCTGCTGACGAAGCACGGCATGACCCGGAGCAGCTCGTCCTTGTCCTCTTCACGGATCACAGGGATGGTCTCCAGGATCAGCTGCATCTGCTCCAGTTCATGAGCTCCTGGGGAGACAGATGCCAAGTGATTAAGCGTGCTGTGTGAGCCGCTGCACACGCAGAAGCCCCAGTGTGACACCAGCTGCCTTGTGGGGGTGGCGGTGGAGGTGTAACGGGAGTAGGCAACACTGGGCTGGGAACTAGGGGACCTGGGCACTTGTTTTCACTCTGCCACTAACTTGTTGTGTGACTGGGGCAGGTTGCTTGCTGTCTCTGGGACTTGGCTTTGTCACATGTAGAAAGAATTTGAATCTAATGGTCTCTGAGAGGCACCTCCATTCCCCTCACCTTCTGGCCTCTGGAAAAGGCCCGTCTGACGCAGACTGGGTCATCCAGCATTAAAGTGATGGGAGCAGCCTGGCCAAGGGTTCCCAAGTGCTGCTTCCCATGTGCACACTTCAAACCACTGAAAGGAACTGGGTATGGTGGCACACACCTGGAATCCCAGCACTTGGGAGGCTGAGGCAGGAGTTAAAGTCTAGCCTGGATCACATAGTGAGTTCAAGGCCAGCCTCAACAATAACATGAGACGCTGTCTCAAAAAAAGAAAAAAAAAGCATGCTAATTACTGTTATGTCACGGTTATCTTGTAGTGAAACACTATGTTGCTTAAATTGTTCTGATCTGTTTTGTTATGTTGCTATGACCTCTTTTATCTCAATATCCTTTTATTTTTTTAATAAAAAAAAAGTAGACAAAGGATAACAATGAACTTTCCTTTAGTGTCCAATTAGGATTCATCCAGAAAATTCCCCAGGAATGACCAGTTGGGTCTGGGGTGCACTCTGCCTCTGTTCCTTAGGCTGGGGGTGGGGGGAGACAAGTTGTGCCATTCCGAATGTTGGGGACAGGATAGAGCCAATCATCCCTTTATATGCTCATTCATCCAGAAATTATGTGCTTCTTTGAACCAGGCTTCTCCTGACTTTTGAGAATGAACAAGAAGCTTCTCTTCCACAAGAAGCTTCAGTTTTTGTATGTCTCAGTGACTCAGCTCCTTTTCTAGGCGAACACTGACCATGGCATGAGCACTGTCACTGCAGATGCTGGTCCGAGCCATCTCCCTGTTCCCTGCTCTGATGCCAGGCTGCTTTCTCCCATCTTCTCTCTTTACCCTAAGTTTCCTTTCCACTTAGTGCTGCCTGAGAGATCCTCAGTCTATTCTCCCTTCTCAAGACTGTTTACCTGCACAGCCTCACTGCTAGGAACCCCAGGCTTTCAGAAGCTGGTAGCTTAGGATAAGGAGGACCCTCTCATGTCTTCCCATGATGCCCTGTGTGGCATTAAGCAAGTTCACATGCCCTGAACTCTTGCCAACAGTATCAGGGTCTATCCCAAAGGGGACTCTGGGGCAGCCAGTGAGCTCCAGCAATCCACATGATGAACCACAAAGCAGAAGCTTTGGTGGCAGACAGTCCTGGAGGCAGACCCAACTCCCCACCTCTCTTTCCTGTTCCTTGTGGAATTAAGATGATTACTGACACTTGGAAGGACCATGGCAGGGAACCCAGTCTGATGGCATGTGCAGGCTGCTGGCTCACAGCAGATGCTTAATCAATCTTGGCTTCCCTGCCTTCTGGAAGCTGGAGGACAGTGACCTTCCAGGAGAGAAGCGGATGAAATAAATCCATGTGGAAGATTTATGTCCTAATTATCTCAGGGTGATCCTTGGTGACAGATGACACTTGGGAGAGGCATATTTGCCCTCTGAGCCTACTAAATTACCCCCCTGCTGTTGGGATCCTTCCACCCTTTCCTTGCTGGGGGAGTGTCCTGCTGTGCCAGAGAGACCATCAGCTATTTGCTTTCCCTGCCTCCTGTGCAGTGTTGTAACAAAAGATACCAAACTGTGGGTGGCTTAGAGAGAGCCAGCATTTATTTCTGTTGGAGTCTTAGAAGTACAAGATCAAGGTATTAGCAGATTTGTCTGGAAAAGGGCTTGTTTCTCATGAATCACCCCTCAAGGTACAGCAGTACATGGTGGATGAGATGGGATGGGGCTGCGGGGGACTCTCTGGGGTCTATTTTATAAGGGCACTAAGCCCTTTGATTAGAGCTTCTACTCTGTGATTATCCTCTATATAATTCAGTGTCTTCAGTCACTGCCCTGATGGCCAAGTCATCTCCCCCAAGCCTCACCTCTTATTTCCCATTGGGTGTTCGGATTTTCCACATATGATTTTAGGGGGACATAAGTGTTCAACACATGGCAAAATGGGTTCTTGGCTGAAAAAGTTGTGCACTCAAAGGGCTAATTTTAGCCTTTAAACCATCTTTTTTTTTTTTTTTGCCAGAAATTACATTGTTACCGCCAGGAATTGTCTTAAAACCCAAATAAGTCATCTCAGCCATAGAGTAACATGGTTTAGGATTAGCATGCGTTTTGTACTCAGTTCTTTCTTTGAATACAAGGATACCAAAAGGGAAGGTCGTGGTATAGTTAGAAACTTACCAGCAAAAAGCATCCTCCCTGTGAGCATCTCAGCCAGGATGCAGCCAGCTGCCCACATGTCGATGGCTTTCGTATAGTTGTTGGGTGACAGGAGCAGTCGTGGAGAGCGGTACCACTTTGTCACCAACCCCTCTGACAGATAACCCTGGAAGAGAAAATCCCCCATCCCACTAGTCAGTGATTTGCAAGTTCCTTTCCTCCCTGCTTCTTTCGGTTTTCCCTGCCATGGAAACAGGGCCCCCTTCCTCATCCCGTTCATTCTCGCTCCTTTCCTCTTGACCTGGGAGAAGCATTAGTGAAGAAAGGTCAAAGTGGCTGGGCTTGGTTTGTCATGCTCAAGGGCTTGAGTGAGAGGAATCTTATGATGCCTTGGGGTTCTCCTCTACAGAGAAGGTTCTGGGATCTCAGTATTTTAGAAGGGAAGAGTTCTCCCATTCACGTTACTAAGCATAGTAAATTTGCTCACATCTAGTAAGAAGATAGATACGTAGGAGCCATGCTTGAATTAATTACCACCATAAATAGAGAAATGATGAGACATTAAAATTTCATTTAGCCAATGGCTGAATCTCAGAAACAGACACGCATTTGAAATCAAGCCATCTGCTTGGGTACTGATAATTAAAATTAGTGCTGCCACAAAGCCAGAAAGTAGGGCCAACTTCATAATGGGCACAGGTAAATGACATATGAAGTAGCCCTGAGCGACAGAGTGGTCACAGCTTCTGTTGGCCCAGGGGTTCTTGGGATTCTATATGGTGTCCTGTTGGGAACAGATGTTTTAGCCAGCTTTGCAATCACCTCACTATTGTGTATGGTGATTAAATAGGTGTTTTAAGCACAGATAAGAAAATATACTCACACAATTCAAAAATTATTGTCTGTACAGTTTAGAAAGATGGCCCAACAATGAAGTGTCAGAAATTATTTCTTGGATTCCCTAGAACAGCTTCCCTGAAGGAAGAAGACGGACCTATTTGGGGGATTAAGGGAGATGGCTAAAACTGAAAGGTTCAGGTGCATACCTGTATTACTGACACTGAGAGGTTGAAGCAGGAGGATCACAAGTTTGAACCCATCTTGGGCAATTTAAAATAAAAACTGTGGATGCAGTTCAGTGTGAAAGCACTGTGTTCAGTCCCCATTAATCAATCAATCAAAAGGGTGAGGGGACCCAAGAGGAGATGCTAAGGGCTGGTCTTGTTGTAATTCTCAGTTTGGCATCCAAATTTTCCTTTTTACTGGTGCATAAAGTATCACAGACCCAGGTTAAAACAGATAAAAAATTAGGAAGCCCAAGTTCCAATGAGCTTTTGATTTATTAAAGGTGAGATCTCTTCATTTTTTGGGCAAAGACACATTATTAAACATCTAAAATCTTCCGAGAGTCCCAAATTATGACAACAGCTCTCTTCACTTCAGGGCTTTCTTCACAGTAAGTCTCCAGACTTCTGGAAGGAAGGGATGACAGAGGAAGATAGTTGTGCAAGTGTGATAGTTTTTGGTTTTTATCCATGGTTCCTGGCTCATAACTCATAACTCCTTACCCAAAGTGGGTTAGAGAAACCCTAATATTCCTCCATCTTCCTATCTTGGAAGCCTAAAGAAACTCTCTGAGCTAACATGTTGAACAGCAGGTCATAAGACCCTCCTCCCTTTAGAGGGGTCTTGCTCCACTTAGTGGAAGGAGGAATGCTGCACAGAGAGGCCAAGAAGAGTCACCCTTGCTGGGTTTCCTTCCCAGCCATCATCCCTTTTGCCCAGGCTCCTTTCCACATGGCTGCCCATGCTTCAGTCATGGTCATGCAATAATGACTCCACAAAAACCTGAAGAGAAAGTTCAGAGAGTTTCTAGATAGTCAGACCCATGGGGTTCCATAGTGGGGCGTGGAAGCTCTGTTTCCCTTTCCATACCTCACACTGTGCACCTCCTCTTCATCTTCATGTAATGTCCTTATAATAATCTTGTAAGTGTGGTTCCTTGAGTTCTGTGAGACACTGTAGCAAATTAATCAAACCCAGGGAAGAGGTCATGAGAACCTCAGTTGGTAGATAGTTGGTCAGAAGCTCCAGACACCTAGATTTTCTACTGGTGTCTGACATGGGGACAGTGTGATGGGATCTGGTGCTATCTCCAGGTGGACAGGGTTAGAATGAAATGGATGGAGGATGCCCAGCTGGTGGCTGCTGTGGAGCTGCATGCTTGCTTCCTCCCAGCACCTTTGGGGTCACAGAAGTAAGTGATCTGTGTTGGGAGCAGACAGTGGGGGGAGTTGGCTTTTTCCTCAGCACACCTCAGCTTGGCCTCCAAGGTCTAAAAGAAAGCACTCAACAGTTTCACAAAACGCGTCTTTCTCTCTTCTTTGGACATCTGCACATGCACATTTCAGGGATGCACATCCTCAGGCTCACTGCCCTCCCCGGACTTCCCTGTTTTGTTACCAACACTTCACTTCTCTGCAGCATCCCGGCCCTCTAAGAGCACTAGACCATGTGCCTCTCACAGGCAGCAGCTCTGTCCTTCTGCATTGGCCTGCTTCCTGTCTGCCTCTTGGGAAGCATGACCACAGACACTGTGGAATAAATGAAAGGGAAGCTTGCTAAGTGTGAGTAAGAATCCTGTACATGGTCTGTAGGCCCTTCAGAATGAGGCGCCTTCTGAAGGAGCCCTGACCCTTGTCATTGACACACCTGACTTTATGGACTGTTCCAATTCCTACTTTCAAAGGTGAGCAGGGTGTTTACACAAGTTAATAGTTACTCATGTTTTGTCTTGTTCCAAAAAAGATTAGCCAATATAATTATTATGGTAGTTTAATGATTTTAAAGTCAGGTTTATTGAAGTACAATGTGCAGAGAGTAAACTTTGCCCTTTTAGAGTGTGGTTCAATGAGTTTTAAAAACAGAGAATCATGCTGCCATTATCATAATCACAATATTTCACATTTCCTCATCCCAAACAATTCCCTCATGCCCTCTGCTGATAACCCCCAGTCTCCAGCCACCACTATTTTCGGGCCCGTGGTTTTACTTTGCACAGAATGTTATATAAATGGAATCACAGGATGTCACCTTTGGAGTTTGAATTCCTTCACTCATCATAATGCATTGAGGTCACTCATGTTGCATGTACAGTAGCTTATTAGGAATTTAAATGTGATTCTAAAAACTACAAACTAGGCTACACTGTGGGCATCAGTTCTTCACTCCTGGGTGGGAGGGTTGTAAGGACAGAATGGCCCGGCTTTGATTTCCAGTGAGATAGTTAGGAAAAGAGTAAAGCAAAGATTACCCAGAGAGCAGGTGGCTGAAGGGCACTTTTCTGATATATAAATAAGCAGCCTTTTATGGAATGGATTGTTGAGTTAATCTGTCTCTGCAGAATCTAGGGATGGAGGAAAGCAGGAACCCAGGACTTCCTTCTGAAATACCTGCCTGGCAGATATTTCATGACAGGGCTATCCTTGGGCCAGGATCGAGGACCAGGTTGTAATACAAGCCAAGAAAATTCCTCCCTGGATCTTCCTGACTTTGGATGAAAACCAGGAACCTCCTGAATTTACATTAACTATAAGCTGTTCCTCTATGCCTACTTGCCCCTCAAGCTTTTTTTTTTAAATTTTATTTAAAAGGAAAAAGAAAAACAAAACAAAACAAAGCAGTATAAGGGTACAATTAATACAGAACTACAAAAAAAAAAAAAAAAGTAAGAAACCACCAGTTAATAGATTACAATTATCATCCTAGAAACAGTTGCTCAGGTCACAGTATCAAAGCATACAAAGTGGACATTCAAACAGTGAGACTGCAAACAGTTGTGTTCAATGATCCAACCAAAAACATTAATATGATATTTAATTTTTTTTGTGGAAACAGGGATTGAACTCATGACCTTGTGCTTGCCAAGTAGACACTTATGCCACTGAGCTAAATCCTCAGCCCCATTGCCCCTCAAGCTTTTTACAAAACATAAAGAGGATTTATGAAGCTGTTTCAGATGCAAAGGGGCAGAGGAAAATCTGGGAAGTTACAGTGGTTTCTGCTAAACCTTGGGAAGATGAGCCGGGAATAAACAGGATGCTCCGTTCCTGGGTATGGGCATCGGGAAGTCATACCGGCATTTGAGGGGAGCCCTGGCACCTGAGGGCAGGTGCTTCAAGGGTCCTCAACATGATGCTGGTGATCTTAATCCAAAATTAGTGTCTCAGCTGAGTGTATAGAGTAGAAGGGAATTTTTCTAGGAAAAAGAATTTTCTAGGAAAAAAGGCTTCAACAAGTATTCAGGTATGGAGATTCCATTTCCACAGAGCTCAGACATCAATAAGAGAGGAAATCCTTCAGTGGCCTTTCTGTCTCACTTGTAGGGTACAGAGGTTCAGCTCCACCTGGCTATGGAGAAGAACGTGTCTTTCAAGATCAGAGCTGACCTCCCTTAGAAGTACATGCCCATTGCCTGGCTGGCTGACAGGGAGTATCAGGCATGTGCACAAGTGCGAACTACTTGACTCTGGTACTGCAGGCCTGGTGGGGCTGGGCTGTTGTGTGAGGCCTGTAGGCACCATGCCTGAGAGCACATGAAGCTCCCACTCCTACCTTCTCTTACTGCCACTCAGCCACAAGAGGAAGGGTTGCAGTTGTTCCTTTATGTGGTATCTTTGCTCCTGCTATCTTGTCATTTGTCCTGGCTGAAAAGAGCCACAGAGACACGACTGCGGGGGTGCATTTGGATGAGTTTCCCTATTTACATCTTTCTGTGGGGGAGCCTTTGGTCCTTCTGTGGCCATTGCTCTCACCAGGCTCCTGGCTGTCCCTTTTGAGTAGTTCATGGGAAGCTCTGACTTTGAAAGCTTCAAAGGTGTTTGGAAAATAATCTAACAGCAGCTGCCTACACAGAGCATAATTAGGTTCCCTGACAGATCTGGAGAGAAGGTATAATTAAAGCTCTGAGCCCTCGCTAGCAGAGGGAGCAAGCCACCAGCACTCACGCCCAGCTGCCTGCAAGTTACTCCAGCAAGGTGGCTCTAGGGCCAACCCACTGCAGCAGTGCACTGGGTGGGTGTGTCAGTGTGGCTTGCCCTTCCGCATCTTTACCTGCACTGAGCCTGCTTTTCTGTGTCTGGGAGGACAAAGGCTGGAGGAGAAGGC